GATTGATTATATAGTTAGGAATATTTAAAGGTAGGCAATAAAAAGTATATTAATATCTATAGTTTTCGGAACTTAATTCTTTTTTACATCAGTGGAACTTGGAACCATCGTTGTTGTAGGATTGATAAAAAAAATTCCTGATTAAGTATGATCCATTTGATATTTCTTAATCAAATATCTTAATTATAGAGTATCAATTCAAAATGTGCTAGTAGGTGAATGTGCTTTCACATAAAACGTAATCACTTATTTCCAAATTACAGTTTTGTTTATGAATGGCGAAATGCTCTACAAGCATATGCACGCTCTTAACTATGATCACTCGACTAATATAAAAAAAGTAGAGGGTAAGAAATAGGTTGAGATACAGTTTGAGTCAACTATCTTTAGACAGTACGTAGATATAACTTGTATATTTGTATAGGATAAAACATGGCGCTTGGCTTAAGCTAGTAACAAAGTTCTTGACCAACCCAAAATCTCAAAACGTACAAAAGGGTCACACACACTCACTCATACGTGTTTGAGAAGTACATGTCTAAAAGTCTTCCAACATATTTGATTGAACATCTCTAATTCGCTGACCGCAAAGTGCTTCGGACGGTCGCTGGAGTATTTATATACAATTTTTTTTTATATAGTTGATATACACATATAACTATCGTCGTGTCGTATCGTATCATATCATATGGATTAAGACATAAAGCAACAGGAAAAAAGATTCCAAAACTCTAATAAATAGAATTTAGAAAGAATTTGACAAATTAAAAAATGAAGGGGCCAATCGAATAACAAGTGGAAAAGTCATGCCAGATTCCTAAATTTTTATAAAATTCAATTATTATTTGTTTAAAGTCGCCCCCTCAAAACTCTCTATTGACTAAAAAGAGTTTCTTCGACGACATAAGAAGAACCTCACTGCAACTAAAGAGAGAAAGAAGCAAGCGTGAGAAGGAGATATAGAGATGAAGGTCGTGGCTTTAGTAAGTGGCGGCAAAGATAGCTGTTATGCTATGATGAAGTGTATTCAGTACGGTCACGAGGTTCGTATTCTTCTCTTACCTGAGAGGAGATTTTGTCTAGTTTCAAAGTTTTGTTACTTGTTAAGAGTTTCCCTGAAATTGCCTCTTAAAAGTTCGATTTTTGTAAGCTATACGAACTTAAATCTCACTTGGGATTTGCCGATTTCTGTTTTTACAGATCGTGGCATTGGCTAATTTGTTGCCGGTTGATGATTCGGTCGATGAATTGGACAGCTATATGTATCAAACTGTAAGATTCTGTTTATGTGTTGTCTCTTTTGGTTCTATGTATGTTCTCGAGTGTAAGATTCAACTGGATTTTGAATATGAGATAGAATGAACCTTTTCTATCTCATTGGTGTTTTTGTGAATCTGGTCAATGTTTTCATGACTTGTAAATATGGGTTGTTGTTATTTTTAATAGAAGATTAAGATTAGATATTTTCGATAGTGGATATTTGGGAGTAAGAATGATTTATAGGATTGGTGATTTTGGAACCCGAAGTTCTGTTTTTTTTTTTGTTTCATCGTATCTAATTTCTTTGATTGGATGCACCTTCTTCAGGTAGGCCACCAGATTATAGTGGGCTATGCAGAATGTATGAATCTGCCATTGTTCAGAAGAAGAATCCGAGGGTCTTCGAGGTGAGAACCGTCAGGCTTTCTGCTTGAGTTTCTAAGGCTTGATTTATTGAATAATTTAGTGGAGTTTTATTTGCAGGCATCAGAAACTTAGCTACCAAATGACTCTAGATGATGAAGTGGAAGATATGTTTGTGTTGTTAAGTGAAGTGAAGAGACAGATACCTTCCATCTCTGCAGTAACGTCTGGTGCGATTGCATCAGACTACCAACGACTGCGGGTGGAGAGTATTTGTTCAAGGTTAGGCCTTGTTTCTTTGGCATTTTTGTGGAAACAAGATCAGACATTGCTTCTTCAGGAAATGGTAAACTGTTTCACGAAAAGAGAAACTGAAGATTCAAGCCTCTTTCAATCTTCTTCTTTTTTTGTTTCTTTCAAATTTCTTTTTTTAACTTGTTTCTTGTTTACTTGCAGATAGCAAATGGGATAAAAGCTATTTTAGTCAAGGTAATAAGGATTGTAGTTATATTTTCGCGCTTCTATTAACATCAACATTTTATAATTATGGTTTGTTTCACGTTAACAGGTTGCGGCAATAGGCTTAGATCCCGCAAAGCATCTAGGGAAAGACTTAGCCTTCATGGAACCATATCTTTTGAAGTTAAAAGAGTATGCCACAGTTCTCTTTTATGGCGTCATTTAGGTATTATCTAGTTGACTATTTGTGTTACATCATCGGTTCTAAAGCTTCTGGATTCATCTCTACTTAGGAAATATGGAAGTAATGTTTGCGGTGAAGGAGGAGAATATGAAACTCTGACTCTAGATTGCCCGCTTTTCACTGTATGTCCTTTTAAAAATCATAGCAACAGTTTTTGTTCATTGATTCCTCACATTTATATGTAGTTTGACAATTTGCATTTTCGTAGAATGCGAGTATCGTGCTCGATGAATTTCAAGTTGTGCTACACTCTCCAGATTCCATTGCACCTGTTGGTGTTCTTCATCCTTCTACATTCCATCTTGAAAAGAAAGGGAATCCACACTCCAATTTTCTTGAAGAGGAATCGAGTTTAGTGGCTGAGGTACTAGGAGATGGTCCTAACACATCAAATTCTACTTGCCAACGAGATAATGGAATTGTTGATCTGGTTGAACATACAAGTAACAGAGTTCACATATCGAGGACTGAGAAAAAAAACACATTCTCCTTCTGCTGCTGGTTGGAAGATTCTCTTGAATCTTCAACAGGTAACTAAAAAAAGCAGACCAAATCCTTCAAGATTTTTTCGCATATGTACTTGATATTTGTGTTATCCTCTTTAAACAGGTCTGAAAGAAGATCTCGAGACTGTTCTTACAGAACTTGAATCCCAGCTTTTAAAACATGGGTTTAACTGGCAGAATGTATTGTACATTCATCTTTATATATCTGACATGAGTGAATTTGCTGTGGCGAATGAGACATATGTGAAATTTATCACCCAAGAAAAGTGCCCTTTCGGTGTTCCTTCACGTAGTACAATAGAACTTCCTTTGATAAAAGCGGGTCTTGGAAAAGCTTATGTTGAGATTTTAGTTGCGAATGACGAAAGCAAAAGAGTTCTCCATGTCCAGAGTATATCTTGCTGGGCACCTAGCTGCATTGGACCTTACAGTCAGGTGAATAAATTCTCCTCTTTGGATTCTAAATAAGCTTCAAACTGATTAGCAAACTCAGTTACTTCAATATCATCTACTTCAGGCCACTTTGCACAAAAGTGTTCTTCACATGGCTGGACAATTAGGACTTGACCCTCCCACGATGAATCTTCGAAACGAAGGCGCAATTGCTGAGCTAAATCAAGCGTTGACGAACAGCGAGGCAATAGCAGAGTCTTATAACCGCTCACTCTCTTCATCAGCTATACTCTTTGTGGTTTTCTGTTCAGCACGCACAAAACAATCAGAGAGGAGCCAACTTCACGAAAAGTTTGTTACTTTCTTGGATTTGGCAAAGTCTTCTCGGAGGGTGCTAAATGTCATGGATCCCATGTTCCTTTACATCCTTGTCCCCGATCTTCCGAAAAGGTAAAATTACTGCATATAATCTACCTTTACATCCTTGTCTCCGATCTTCCCAACGGTTTTGGGTTTTTAACACACTAAGTGTTGTTCTCCAGGGCTCTTGTTGAAGTGAAACCTGTTTTGTACGTGGAAGAAGAGACAGAAACCGAAGATGAAACCAGGCAAGATCAATCCGGTGAAGAAGATTACAGTTTTTGGGGATATAAGCCAGAGAAGTGGCACCAAGATTGTTTGCAGAAACGAGTCGTTGATGGGAAAATGTGTGTGGCCGTTCTCTCTATATCAGCCGAACTAATGAGGAAACTTCAGGAAACTTCCGGAGAAGAAGAGCAGCTGGAGAGAGTACCAAAATTCTGTGTATATCTTCTCAACAAAACCTTGTCTGAAAATTCATTTTCTTGGCAAGACATGACGGTGAGAATGAGATTCTTTAACACAATGTTGTTAGCCTCTCATCAAAAGCTTTGTTTATATCTTGTTGTTGGTTGATGCAGAGCCTAAGAATACACTTCTCTACAAGTCTTGGTGTGTCCGTAGAGAAATTATCGGACATTTTTGCATCTGCATTCAGAGAGCTTAACGAGATGAGTGATGGAGTTAAAGTCGGTAGCTCGAAAGAACCTATCTTCAATCTCGTCCCTGTCCTTGCTGCTGGAAACTCATCTGCTTCGCTCGACAGCATAATCACCTGTGAAATGTTTGCCCTAAGGTCGTAGGTTTCCTCCTGTTTGACAAGGAACACAAAGGTTTTTGCTTTCTTGATCTTGGAGCTCTGTTCTGTTCAATGGATTATATAATCTTCCGCTCATCAACTTCCCTCCTTACCCGCTGTTTATTTGCAATGGGTAGCCAATTGAACGGCACGATGTTTTAGGCGGACAATTCCTTGCAGTTTTTGTTAGAATACCTATTCCATTGATGAAAAACAACATGTAGTTGTTTTGTCGCAAATGGAAACGGCACGATGTTTGTTTTTTTTTCTTCTTCTGCAATTGGAAGTGCTTAGACTGTTTTACTGTGCCAAACCAAGTCCAAAAGAAAACTCAATTATTTCACCTTATGGTATGATATTATTGATCTGATATATTGTAACCTTATAAATGAAATATTACTTAGCAGAAAGATTTAACTTGGATACTAATCATGTAACTTTCCAATATATATCACACGGGTCAGTAAACGTCGTTATATGATCTAATGCAAAGAATGTGACATGTTACACGACAACATAGATCTCAGAAAGATCTTTTCTTTTTATTTGATTAAAGGGGTTATCAGACAAATTAGTCTTATTCACGAGGATATATAAGAGATCCCAAATGTCAATACGTATTCAAGATCTTCTTTGGCATGAAAATTTTAGCTATGAATGGTCTATTCACAACCAAAAATCGTACGTATTACACAAAATACGACGTCTTTCCAAACCAGAACACATTTGCATTGTATCATCTCATTTGATAAACGGATGTGCTTGAGAAGAAACTTTGTGGCTGTGATGTTTTATGCTTTTGTTGTCACACACACACTTACACTTTTGGATCTTGTTTATTTTCTATGACAAAAATTTGAGAGTAAAAGAGGAGAGAACAAAACAAAGTATTAAAAATATCCAACAAGATGCCTTTGGGGGAAACATTGCATTGTGGTCTGTGGGGACAAATTTGCTGGCACACAAATTCTGCAGAAGAAATATGGAAAATAAAATAAGTTTGATTCACTAGTAAATAGAAATTACAGGAATAGGATGGTCCAAAAAAGTACTAACAAGTTTTTAAATAAAAATACTAATTAGTAAAAAATATTTTGATCCACAAACATCCTTTTTACACTCCTATGCAATAGTAACCAACCAAAAAAAAAAAAGCATCCTATGGTCGATTAGGTTTATATTATATGAATCTTTTATGTCACACACTCACACAAAACACTACTCTAAAGTTGTGTATTTTCGACAGGTTTAATGTCTACTCACACGTGTATAAGTTAAATGCAATGATAACATCCTTTAATGAATGCAGATTTAAATATGGCTTTATTGTTTTGTAAATGCAAATCTTTGGTTCAATAATGAAAAACAAATTGGGATTATTCATCTGAAAAAACTGTGTCGTTTTGGGTGAAACTTGAAAGAAAGGGGCCTTTAACGTCATTAAAAAGAATCCAAAGTGGGAAAATCCAACCTGGAAAAATTCAGACGTAAAGCGAACCCAAACGAAATGAAAAGAGAAAATTAGACAATGGTAAAGTTGTAATTAAATGTAAAGTAGAGGTTAATTCCTTATTTCTCCTTTGCAGTACCAAATTGGTCGAGCGAGACCAGAAAATTCGCAGAGAGAGAGAGAGATAGATCTGAGTAGTAGTGGTGGTGGCATTAATAATGGCGTAAGTAGGAAGAAGGAACCTAGCCGTTAGATCTTCTCAATCGCCTGAAATTTCCTTCGCTCTCTGTCTCTCTCCGTCCCATTGCTCCCTTCGTTCCCCTCTCTGTCTCTCTCTCCCTCTATCTGTCTTTTCAGGGTCGGGTTGGTGAGAAAAATCCAGCGGCTTACCGGATCTTTCTACTGGTATTTTTTGTGTTCTTCACGAGGGTTATCGAACAATTGATAGAGAATTTAAAGAGGGAAAAGGTGAAAAAGGCGTGTGTTTTATTTCGTAAAGGCTCCAGCTTTTTTTGTTGAACAGCTTGTGAAGGCTGTTGCTTTTTTGTTTTATTGGAATTTGGGTTTTCTCTTTTATCTTCTGAGGAGGAAAAAGGAAGGAAAATTTCTTGAATTTGATTCAAATTTGAGCTCATATGGTGAGTTTTTAGGGTTTTGTTTGGTGATTCTTGGAAGAATCTGATTCCTTTTCTCTATTAGGGTTCGACTAGTAAAGTAGAAAGGTCTTTGTTTTGGGAGCTTAGTGAGTTTTGGGAAATAATGGAAGACTACTCCAAGTATACTCATAGTCCTGCTCATTTGGCGGTTGTGCTTCGTGATCATGCGGCTCTTAGGCGAATTGTATCCGATCTTCCTCGGTTAGCTAAGGCTGGTGAAGTTTCTACAGAGGCTGAGTCGATGGAGTCTGAGTCTCGTGCTGATTCTGTTTCAGCTGTTATTGATCGGCGTGATGTTCCTGGTCGTGAAACTCCACTGCATCTCGCTGTTCGTCTTAGAGATCCAGTCTCTGCTGAGATTTTGATGTCTGCTGGTGCCGATTGGAGTCTACAGAACGAGAATGGTTGGAGTGCGTTACAAGAAGCCGTTTGTACTAGAGAAGAAGCAATCGCCATGATCATTGCTCGGCATTACCAGCCTCTTGCTTGGGCTAAATGGTGTAGGAGACTTCCTCGGATCATTGCATCGGCATCCCGAATCCGTGATTTTTACATGGAGATCACGTTTCATTTTGAGAGCTCAGTGATTCCGTTTATTGGCCGCATTGCTCCTTCAGATACTTACAGGATATGGAAACGTGGTTCGAATCTCCGTGCTGATATGACCCTTGCCGGTTTTGATGGATTTAAAATCCAGCGGTCAGATCAAACATTTCTCTTTCTAGGGGATGGTTATTCGTCTGAAGACGGTAAAATGTCCCTTTCTCCGGGCTCGTTGATTGTTCTTTCACATAAGGAAAAAGAAATGACAAATGCTTTGGAAGGAGCTGGTGCCCAACCGACAGATGCTGAGGTTGCTCATGAAGTGGCTTTGATGTCTCAGACTAATATGTATAGACCTGGAATCGATGTAACTCAAGCTGAGCTAGTTTCTCATTTGAATTGGAGACGGCAAGAGAGAACCGAGATGGTTGGGAATTGGAAAGCTAAAGTTTATGATATGCTACATGTGATGGTGAGTGTGAAATCAAGACGGGTTCCTGGTGCAATGACTGATGAGGAGCTCTTTGCAGTTGATGAAGAGCGAACTGCTGCAACAAACGGTGCAGAAACTGATGGCTTCGATGACGTATTAACGCCTGAGGAAAGACTCCAACTGAATTCTGCGCTTCGGACTGGAAATTCTGATGCCATTGAAGATGAAGAGTGTGAAGTTACTGATCACCAGGAAAACGGAGCTCCCAAGGATAAGAAGGGCTGGTTTGGTTGGAATAAGAAAGGCTTAAACGCTGAAGATACTAAGCTCAAGAAAGGCTCAAAGTCTGCGCCAGAAGACGGGAATCAAAAAGGGAAAAGCCAGAGATCTTCAATGGTATCTGATCATACAAATGAGGATCTTGGAGACACGAAGAAAGGAAAGGATAAGAAGAAGAAGAAGAAAGGTGTTGCCGGAGATGAGGTTAAGCGTGAGAGTGAATACAAGAAAGGACTAAGACCGGTCTTGTGGTTAACACCGGATTTTCCTCTTACGACAGACGAGCTTTTACCACTCCTTGACATATTAGCTAACAAAGTTAAAGCCGTTAGGAGACTCAGAGAGCTTCTCACAACTAAACTTCCACTAGGCACATTCCCTGTAAAGGTAAAATCTTTTTTCAACTCATAAATTGTGTGTCACTGATATGAATAATTCACTCTCTGGGGGTTTATGCTTATTGATAATTGATCTGCAGCTCGCCATTCCCATTATTCCGACCGTCCGAGTTGTTGTTACTTTCACAAAATTTGAAGAGCTTCAGGCGGCTGAGGAGGAGTTCTCAACACCTCCTTCTAGTCCGGTATTCCATGATGCAAAGTCTTCTTCTTCAGAGAACTCATCACCATCATGGATCTCATGGATGAGAAGTGGCAAATCAAGCGACAATGATAGTAACCGTTACAAAGACGAGGTTGACCCGTTCTTGATACCTTCAGATTACACATGGGTCGATTCGGCTGAGAAGAAACGTCGAATGAAAGCAAAGAAAGCTAAGAGCAAGAGAAAGAAACAGGCGGCTACAAAAGCCGCTGCTGCTAGTGACTCAAGTACCCGTTCAAATCAAGTAGCCGAAGAATGATGAGTCCCAAGTAACAGAATCATTGCATTCTTCAGGTTTTTCTTTGGCTGGACTCAGCCATCATTTTGGCCTTGAGAAAAGGCTTTTGGTAGTGTTGTTTATTGCTCTTGTAATGTCATGTTATTTCTGAAATTCCCTTAACAAAACATCTTTGTTCTCTCTTAATGATTAATCCTCCTTTTCTTTTTCGGTTCGATGTTGGCTCTTCTTACTCTCCCTGCATTCCTAATCCAGGCATAGTTCTGAATCGAATTTTGAAGCTTTGATATTATTATAATTTTTTCAGTTCATGAGCAAAAGTGCAAAACGATTTCAATAATAAGCCATGAAAGTTTGAACTTCAATGATCTCCTCAATCCTATCCTTTGTAAATGATCAGTATAAATTTTATTTTTTTTATCCGGAAAATTAAATATCATCCCCCATTGTACAATATACAACAATTTCGAAGCTGAAACTACAAAAGAAAAAACAACTATTTGTCTGCCTTCTTCATTTTCACCAAATTCAGCTTTGATTAGGATTAACATAGCTTTCTTTCAATCCAAGAAGCACTTGATCCCAGACGATGATCTCTAAATGAAAGCTTATCCATTTGCTCTCACGATTTGGCTTAAAACCATTAAATAGATCGGTCTTAAGTGTCATGAAACAGCCTCCTAATCTGATCCACGCTGGCCGGAATCAATGTCACGGGACATCGCTTGTACTGTATGATTACCACAGAAGATGGATATAAGCTTATATCGAGGTTGGGTTATGGGAATAGAGCGAAATGTTTGGAAAACTAACCTTTGAAACATACTTAAAAACGCATGAGTAGCAGAAAACAAATCCAGAGACTGTGACAACTGATGGGTTTGCACGTTTTTGCAGGCATAACGCGCAGAGGGATCTGTTGGGAGGCAGAGGGATTCCTTCTTTGGCCATCTGTTAGAAAAATAACTACAAATCATTTAGTAGACTCAAAGAAGTCTACATTAGTTTCAGATAATGCCTACCAATTGACTGATTTACCTTTGGGGCTGGAGGAGGCGGAGGTGGAGGGTACACTGTTGGAGCTGATAATCTCTCTTCAGCTGATTGATACCACCATTCCATCATCTAAAAAACCAAAACACACGAAAATGAACGAGAGGTTTAGGTCCAACTAAATAATGTATGCGATGGAAAAATATACAGACAAAGACACCAAAAGCATAGCAATTAGCTTCATGGCTTAAACTGCGGCTGAAGCATATAAAATCCTATCTATGTAATCTAAGATTAGGAAAATTTCCCAAAAATAATCTCCTTCAGAATGTGCTGCAAGCTTTCAAGACAGTATAATAAGAGAAGAACCATCAACTGGAAAAAATGGTGGATACCTACTTTAAAGATAAAGACTGCTGCAATCAGACCGGTTTGAGCGTAGTCAAGCACCGCATAAGAGCAGCTAAGAAGTGCCCCTTGCACTGTCTAATTCAATATTCAAAATAATACCATCAGACCTCGGCTCATTAAAGTGTGAGTAGTAGTAAGAATTAGCCTCAGGAAGTTTAAGAAAACAGAAACCATACTTTTAACCATGGAGGACCACGAAGCCTCTCACGCTCATGATTCCGTATCTTTGAAATTCTCGAGGATGTATCCATCTATCTTGGCATAAACAAAGAAAAGAGCAACACAAAAAGTGGGTTAAGACATAACACACGTAAATTTACCACTTTGAAGGTATTCTATAAGTCCGTCAATGATGGTATAACTTCCTGCAACAAGATATATAGAGAAAACCAAAAGGTGGAGTTTCAAGTCTATCGTCCAACTAAAGCTAAAAGCAATAATTTCAAGGGGAGCATAATAAGATAATGGTGACACGAACATTTCAACCAGAAAGGAGAAAGTTAATACCAATTCTTGCCCTGTAGCTCGACAGACTTGAATCCCAAGAGATTGTAGCCCAAGGGAATAAAATCCAGTAGCATCCAGCAGATATAAGAGCTGGTAAGTGAACGATAATCCTGCACAGTTAAGCTAACTACATATAAATCCTAGAGAGCAAATAAGAATCCATTTGTGAATAAATCGCAGTGGTAACGCCATATAGCCTGGATTCAATTCATACTAGGAAACCAAAATTTCATTCCTGTTCAACGCACTAACCACAACAAAATGCAACACTAGGCATGAAGCTAAACAGGGTAAACTAAAAAGTGCTTCTAATTATGTAAAAGAATCATCAGCTACTAGGCAGCCAGAAAAGCCCATGCTCTACAGAAATCCACAATTACCTTCACTAGAGGCATGTATCCAAGGATAACAGACAGCTATAAACTTTTTTATTTTCGTAGCTAATTGTACTCGAACAGAAAGCTCTTCATTCCCACTAGACTCTCTTGAAACAATTGATTCTTCCCCTGTGAAGAAGTCAGTTTCATCAAATCCTTGATCCTCTGTTCCCCATAAACTTTCCCGGAGCCTTGCTTCCCTTTCTTTGTTATAGATTGCATGCAACTTAGACTTGAAGTACGGTAACACAACCTACAAAAGACACTTGTTAGAAGGAAGTTCTAAGCTTAAAGACAAAAGCTTTATACCTTCAACAGATACCCATTTACAAAGTTTTGGATTTAGGATAGAGTCAGTACCAGAAACACAACAGAAAGGATTCTTTGACGTTTCTCTAAACCGGAATGTTGAACTTCTTCGTTAGATTCCTTCTTGGCACTGTCTTTCCTCAATCTCAATCTCACTGATTTCCTCCTCAAACCATACAATGATTCAGCAAACGAAGCATCTGCAACAACTCACCAAAAGTAATCTTTACAAGCAGAAATTCAATTCACACACACACCTTCCCAAATCCAAAAGAACAAAACCACAAAAACAGTTTCCAGAAGCTTACCAGTGGTTCGTAAGCTGTGTCCTTCAAGAATAAGCATCAGTGCAGCAAAGAATTCATCCTCGTAGTCTAAAATCTTATGGAGGAACGATCGTCTTAAAGCAAAAACCTAAAAATCACACAAACCAGCCAAAAACTCTAAGAATCACAGCGATAAGCACCAAATTACAACCCTGAAAAGACGTAGAGAAAGGCATTTTACGCCGAGGGAATAAGTGAGAGCGGCGCGAAGGCTAGCCGGGAGTTGCTGAGCTGCAGCCATCTCAAAGAAGGTGGGGCGGGTGCCTTCACCTCCCACCTGAAACAACATCTTCTTCCTCCAATCCTTATCCCTCTCTTCTTCTTCTTCTTCTTCTTCTTCTTCCTCCTCTAGTCAGTGATAGTTCAATCAAGCCCAAACCTTTGTTTTTGACTGAGATTGAGACCTTTAGCTTCTCCAGAATTGCAGAAATTGGGGAAGAAGATAGAGGACCATGAGAAGACGCATTTCGATGGACGCGTATTAATTACGTCATAAATAACTATGTCTTTTGCCACGTCATCTAGCTGATTCATCAGCCGACAACAGTCCAACTGGACAGCGATTTGTCCACGTCATCTCTATTAAATCTGTTGTTATTGTTTTGTGTGTTGAGTTTCTCAATTACATGTGACCCAAAACAAATTCACATTTAAATTTTGACAAATTGGGAGAAGCAAAATCACCACTTTTCATTTTATTGCTGCTGTGAATTCCACATAAAGCATGAACTAAAGAACACAATTACATCTGTTGCAACATCTTTGGGTCAGTATCATATATAACTTCCAACTTCTTCAGTCATCAGGTGTCTAATCTTCTCTAACCCGTTTCCTATTACTCCCAGAAGCAGATTCACTTTGACCCATTGTGTTAAAACCACTCTGCAGTTTCTGAGTTATTGATGGATCTGAATTGGTTGCTTTAGGGAGGAAAACTTGTGAAAGGTTTTGTGATGGAGCTGAGGGGTCTGCTTCTGGCATTGATGATGAGAAAGAAGATTCTTTTTTATCCTCTTGCATCTTCTGTTGTTTCTCAATCATCATCTGAAGATAACGACCTTGTTCTTCGATTTGTAACTGCAGTGATCTTTGGATCTGCATTGTATCAAGACCAAGATCAGATCAACATCACCATATAAAACCAAAAACTAAGGAATCAGATAGATGAAGAGGAAAGGACAATGTTTTGTTCCATAAGCTTCTCTTTGACAGTTGTAACCATACCTCAAGTTGCTCGTGGAGTTGTTTTTGAACTTTCATCTGCAACCGTAGAGCTTCAGTGATTTCAATGCTCCTGAAGAAAGAAGAAGAAAAAAAGTATGTGAAATAATAGATTCCCTCGGTGTTACATAATAATTCTGACAGAAGAACTAAATTTTTCCTTACGTCTTCAAGTCAAGAGATTTGATATCTTCAATGGTTTTCAAATTCTTCACTGGAGGTTCCTCTGTTCATTAAGAAAAACAAATTTAGTGTAAAGAGGTGTTGCTTCACACAAAGTCTTTTAGATGCCAAAGGCTTTCGTGAAAAATTGAGAAGAGAGTTTGATCCTTAGATGGAAACAGTTATATGCGCACCTTTATTTTCTGAAAGATCCGGTTTATACCTTGCAGTTCTGTATTTCTGGAGAATTCAACAATATAAAGATGGTTAAAATGAGAAATAAAATGAGCTTAAGCATACAAACTGGAGAAAGATGGACAACAATAACCTGTAAATGGCTTTTGACATGATAAATGGTCAACCCGGGGCTATTGATAAGCATTAAAACAGCCTTAGGGGTGGCTCCTGTAGTTTGCAGGTACAAGGCAAGAGAATTATAAGTTATTGAGCTTAACTTTGGAGATATAGAAAGTGAGAAAAAGGGCTTACGCACGTTCACTACCACCGAGCTGATTGATAGCTTCGACAAATGCTTCATGAAGCTCTGGTGTCCAACGCATTCGCTGCTTAGATGTCATCGAACTAGCTGGTGAGTTTTTGGTGTTAAGATCCATTGATGGATCCACATGACGCTGATCATTAAACACTATCTCTCGCCTTGCTATATCAGGAGACGGTGTTGTTATCTGTACGAGATCATATGAGCCAGTCTTAATAGCAGAATCATGAAGACATTATATTAATGACAGAGGACCCTTAATGAATGATTGGACAAAGGAATAAGCTTAGAGATTCATATATAGTTGAGAAATCAAACCTTTGAATCTAGATTGAGGACATTAGGATCGCCTAGAAGCTCTGGCCAATTTGGTATAAGAACATCATCAGACATCAACTGATCCGCCCATTCTGGCCATTCATTTTTTGAATGGACTTCCTTGGACGAGACAATAGTCCTACTGCTCTCTGCTTGTGGATCCGGAACAGGAAAATCAAAGAAGCCCTGAAGCTGATCTGAAGACCAGGTCATATTTTTCTGCTGTTGAGGTTGATTGATCACTTGCAAGGATTGTGTATCAATAGAACATTCCTGCCTCTGCCCTTCTATAGAGGATTGAGGAACAGTCATACTGCCTCTTGGCACTGTAGAAACGGGCGGCCGTGCCTGGGAGGAAGATGAAACATAGACACCATTGCAGAATCCGGGAGAAGATGAAAACAAATTCCCACCAGAAGAACTACCACCAGAGACCAGAGGAAACGCCTGACAGGGGACGGGGTTGTTATTCATCAATTCCTGTCCTGATGAAACCCACGAAATGTTAGGAACGTTATGGTGGTATCTCTTTTCTAGAGTTGTATAAGATGAAGACATTGCGGTCGGAAAACCAAAATCGCTAGCAAGTGTCATTGAATAAGTGCAGTATTGAGAAGATAACTACAGATATCAGAATCCTAGCACAAAAGGGATATTTAGCTTAACAAGAAGCTTTACACAGAAGCAAATATGAGACTCGCTATCACTAAGTTATTATATACACAGGAAATGACTCTGTAGGAATGAAAAAATTCCATTCGCCTAGTTAATATCCTGTTTATATTTCCCTTTCAAAACACTACAAGGGAATATTCTTCACTTTTTGTTTTGCTTTGGATCATAAAAACTCTAAGCTTTCATTCACTTTTTTCCCCTAAACTTCAGCAAATACCGCAAAAGGAAAGATAGACAAGAAGAAATTCTTTGATTCTGTCTATCCAAAACTAAACTTGTTAAAGCTATGAACCAAGAGAAGCTATCATGGAGATGACAGATGCATCAAAATCAAACAGAAATAAGATATGGAATCCAATGCAATAAAGATTGAAATTAACGAGCAATTTGGCCAAAACAAAAAAAAACAAAACAAAAACAATTTGGCTTTTCATAAACCACAGAGGCGTGCAAAGAAGAGAGCCATCATGATGACATTATTATCATACCCTTCTAATAAAAATCGAAACCTCAACAGTGCAAGGAACGAGAATCTTAGAGAGAACCAAATCGAAAAGACAGACAAATTTGGTTCACAAAATGACCTTGACCATAGAAATAAGAACGATTCTTAGATCATAACATGTCAACATCTCATGATTGAACTTTATATAACCCCTCCATGGAAAAGAAAAAACAAACCTTTATCTTAATCAAAAACAGAACATAATCTATAGTGAACCAATTCCAAATCAACATGAGACAACAATACAATTGAACAGAATCAGCAAAGTTAATCACTTTCTTTTTGTGAGATTAAGATTCAATAACAGATCGAAGGGACAAAGACAACAACAAAGTAATGAGTGTATTATTAATTCCACAATCACAATAAGAGAAGTCTTCACATAAGTTCACAAATCACTAGACTTGATTATTCCGAAACCTCGTAATTCGTAAAATCAGCTAAGAGGTTACGCCATATACTCACCAAAACTCAACCACGACGAAAAGAGAATGCCGACACAGTGAGTGAAAGGACTATGGAAATCGCCGGCAGAACCAAAAAGAAGAGAAAAAAGATAGAATCTTTAATCGACTCAGCAAACAACAACAGAGAATCCAATACCGAAAGAATTAGACCAAAAGAGCTTTAATTGAATGATTGGAACTTAACGAAAATAAACTTGCCTTTTTTCTTGGTCTTCTCAATTCCTCCAGCAAGAAAAGAAAAAACTCTCTTTTTCTTCACAAAAGCTCTTTATGTTTGTCATTGACCGTTGGATTGAAATAGTCATTGACCGTTGGATTGAAATACAGTTAAGTTACAGAAGGTTTTGTGATAGAAATCAACGAAGGATATTTATGCAGAGCACGGGAATTAAAAGTTCTCTGTGTAGATGATTACGGCGGCTGTATTATAGAATGAAGCTACTGGGGTCAATCTAATGGTTAAACGTATTTTGATTGGTCGATAGGTGCTTACTACGTCAAATTAATCAGACATTTTAAAGTATTTGACCAAAATTTATATTGATTTCAATTTTCCGTTTAAGTTATTTCTCCACAAAGAAGAGATTTAGTTATCTGCTCTAATCATCAGTCCAAACATCTAAACAAGTATGGCTTGAATTTTCCGAGTGTTAACTAAGACATTTCTCAAATACTTCGAGAATAAGAATCCACAAAATAAATCATAAGTAAAACGATAGGTTGAAATGCTAATGTGACAAACTGGCACGAGAAACGAAGTTCTTATAGGAACTAGAATCAAGTTTAGCGCATAAAAGAAGTCTAGGACAAAAACAAAACATCCTCGAAAGAGGTTAGTGCAAAACGTTTAACACAAAATATAGAACTCAAGCTTGCTTAAACGATGGCGTTTGCAGCACTTGCGATTCTTGGCCACAGGTCAGCACACTCCTTTCCGATTGGTCCAGTGATGGCAGATCCTAGAATACACAAGTAACAGAGACCCATCAGCCACAAGTACACATTATGTTACTCAAAGAACATGTATAGATAAACAACCATTCCTCTAGTTACTACCAACTAACTCATCAGGAGATAAACAAGTAGAACCACTGATCAGAAACTATGAATCACAAGGTTAAGAACTATGTACCTTTCATTTCACCCTTGGGATTGACGATGACACCAGCATTATCTGCAAAAACAACAACTATCGATCAGACTCTCATAGCTAAATGGTTAACACTAAACACAAATCCAACCATTTAAAAAACATAGCAGGGGAAAAGAGCAAAGCTTACCCTCGAAATACATGAAGACACCATCCTTTCGGCGCCATGGCTTCCTCTGCCTAACAATGACAGCAGGGAGCACCTTCTTACGGAGATCAGGCTTACCTTTCTTGACAGTAGCCATAACCATGTCACCAACACAAGCTGATGGCAAACGGTTAAGACGACCCTTGATCCCTTTAACAGAAATGATGTAAAGGTTCTTAGCTCCCGTGTTGTCAGCACAGTTGACAGTGGCTGCCACTGGAAGACCCAGTGACATCCTGAACTTGTTACCAGAGGTTCCTCCTCTTCCTATCAAATCAAAACAAATTGAACAGTAAGCATCAATAAAAGTTACAGATCAAATGATTCCTATATTGCTAGATACATGCATCAACAAAAGTAGATCTCTTCTAGTTAAAGCCTAAGACTACGAATCACATTCATGATCCAGGCATAGCTAATAGCAAATTAGGGTACAACCATTTTACTATATCAACTGGATTGAATTCAGGGTGAATAGAAAAGCGTCGACATAGGCTACGTAACAGATTAAGAAGAATATAGATGAAGATGAACGGGATAGAGAAGCGTAATTACCTCGCTTCGACATGGTTGCAGACTTAGCAGCTCTCCTCAGAAGAATTTTAGTGGCAGCGCCGAGAGGGTTTATATATGCTTAAACTAGGGTTTTCTTCTTCATGTGTTGTGAGCTGATCTGGATTTTATTTATATGGGCCGACGAATATTTCTAATAAGCCCAATTATGTTGTCTTTCTTTTTTCTTTTTTCTCTACCATCCTCTTAAAGCCCAATAAGTTCAAAAATTTATAAATATGATTGAAAGATTCAAAAATACTATTAACACTGTATCAGTTAACAAAAACTAACAACTTGTAAATATTTGATACGATGGTTCACTCTTTTCACCTCAGCTATGATGTGGCTCCTTTTCAATCCATAATCTTTTACGCTCTTTTAGACGAGAACCCGTTTTAAAATCCAGTATTTATTTTACATTTGCAGTTTATTCCTAGAAAACAAAAACAAAAACGGGACTAACAGTGAGTTTCTTTGGTTGGGCAACATCACACTTTAACCTAAAGAATGGATTGGATTGTCAGAGAAAAAATTCTGCGACGACAAAAGTTATATATCGTCATCAAGATGGATCCAAGTGTTTTGCGGTTCATGCTTCCAGTAATGTTTTACTCTAATAACGATCAGTCTCATTTGCGCTTTAAGGCCCCCACTTTGGAACCTGCATTTCAAGAGAAACACTCAACGACTGAATCATTCACTTCATAGAAACCATCACACGATTATGCAGAGATTATTGGTGCTACTCGTATAATCTTAGACTTTCTTTCTCACCTGATTGTTTTTTAGCAGGAACAATCTTTCTTCTTTCTGACTTGCCTTGAGAACCTGCATATCACGGGAATGCGTGATTAGCCAACATATCTAGTTTTTGTTGAAGCTTTTTCTTTTGTTGGAATCATTTACTGTGAACCAATGCACTTTGCCAAACAATATTTTCGGCCAAAACAACACAAACACTAACCTAGAATGTGTAAGCAAGCCAGCAGTCTGCCATGAAGGTTTGAACAACAAAAGCACTAACTCACCTTTTGTTTTTTTGTCTCTGCATGATTCGCTGCCACAGCAACATCGAAATGCCTTTACAGGATGACTTTTATCATTGAAGTCTATCATGTAATCCTGCGATTAAAAACACACGTTATTTGAAGTATGTGTACAACTGAAGAGTAAATAACATTATGGGAACAGTAGAAAGTCGTGCTCCATCTCTATTCATGGAGCCATCTACAAACACCACAGATATCTAGAATGGCAAAATCATCAACATGTTCTAATCTATAGCTTTGAACAATGAGTATTTGTAACTATGAGGGCAATACAGATATTCATGGTGCTTACCCATGTCAACTCATCCATGGCCTTCACATCTCGTAGGGTAAAAAAGGCAATCTGCACATTACCAAACCCACAATTTCCTTAAGCTCAATAAATGTTACTTTCACAATCAGTATTTTCAAGAAGATCAGGTTAGAGTGAAGAATCAGATACTTACATGATAATAATGTCTGTCAGGAGTCTCTATTTCTACCGGAATATCAATCATGTTGGCATCCTCGCATCTGCATCGACAATAAAGTTCACGAGAACCATAAACTCTCAAGAGGAGCACAAAAAAACTATAGGACAACAAGCATTGATTGATACCTGTGATTGATAAACCTTGCGACATTTCCACAGATTGTGGCATCCAGGCAGAGAGCTTCTTCATCTTTTAGTTCCTTTTCAGAACCCCAGTCTGCATCCAGAGTTACAGGATATGTATGCCGCTCACCACTAAACCTTATATTCCGCTCGTATAACTCTGTGTTGGTCAATATTTCACCAATATATTCACAGATAAAGGTCCCTTTTGGCAAGTCATGCAGCGTTCTAAGACCCCACCCTTTCCCTTCTTGGGTAAAGTAGACCTGAAACATATATTTTTCTTGACAAATGAGGAAGCCAGCCATCAAGACAAGAAGCCATATAGAAGACTAAATTAAAATAGTATGGTTAACATATATGATCTAATGTAACTGTTACCTGCAGTTTGCAACTTATCCCTCTCTGAACTACTCGATTTCCACACTGCATATCACATCCACACTTTCTCCAGCATTCCTTAATGAACTTCCGGATTAAGTGACCATCACATTTTCCATGTGTGCCCTTATTGTGGTCTCTCTCCAAAGGGCAGTCTTTGCAGTAAACTTTATGGAACCGATCTGGTTCCTTTTTCATCTTGAGACAGGTGTCGAGAAACTTCTCCTCTAGTAAGCCTTCATTGGTATAGGCATATTCTCCACTGGTTTCACGAGCACAGGTACATGGAAAGTCAGCTGAAAGACAGTTCCCTTCGCAGTTTGCACAGCAATCTTCATCAGAAATTCGAGCGAGGGACACGTGGAGATAAGCACTTTGGTATACAATGTTGTGAGGGATGTAAGTAAACTTTGGCATAGGCTCGCTTCCAACATCATCGACAAGAGATATTTCAACTCTCTCTGAACCTTTAGTTATGTCAGAAATCTTTTTTTTATATTTCCTCTTGCGATCACCATTGCTAAGCTGTGGCTGGTTCTGGACTCCCTGAATGGACGAACCTGAGGTTGCAGAACGGGTTTCGTAAGATTTTTTCAAAGTAGCAGGAGAGTCATTGACCTTAAGATTCTTCCCTCGGTTGCCATTAGATGAACCTTCACTTTGCTTCTTCTCTTCGTCAGCGGAAAGAACAGCGTCGATGAGTACAGAATAGTTATCCAACTTAATCAGTGACCAACTCCCATCAGCCTCTTCTAGGAGCTTCGCAAGCACTGGCATTGTCTTTTCATCAGGAATAGACAATTCCCTTGTTTTCTCTAAAGCTTTGCGTACCTTCTCGTCTTTATCTGTGAGCATCGCTCGTTCCATATCCAGATAACTCACAACTGAACCTGCAAAGTTTAACACACAAAAAAACGAAATTGCCCTGATTTCAAGTGATAGATAAAATAGAATCAGTTCGTATGAAGAATGAAAATGGCAAACACCAAACAAAGACACATCAATGCAGCAGCTCTTAAGACAAAGGACACTGATCAAATGTACGCTTTGATTTAATATTGCCATCCTTGAAAAAGCTGACTCAGGACTGCGAATTTCGAATAAACCCACACCTTATCAGCAAATCAAGCAAAATCACACCAATTAGAAAAACCCTAGAAGCTGAATCAAATTCTATTTAAAAATAAACTGCGAATTCAGAATTTGATATCGACAAGGAGAGAAGCTCCCAGCATTTTCAAGCCTAAACAACTCGAAACAGATTCAGAGAAATCTAAGAAACCCACATTGAGCAGCAACAGCAGGATAAGACGAGTGAAATGCATGATAGAAAGCGAAAGAGAAAACGTAAAACACAGAGAACAAAAACCTCAGTGTGGCTTGTGATGGAGAAAGCCTATAACGAAATCGGGAAGCTTCTGGGATCGAGCCGCCGGCTAAGACACACAAGATTTGAAGGAAGACTGGAGAATGATTGTGTGCATGCAAAAGAGTTTCAGAATATAAAATTAATAAAAGATTTATCAGTTTCAGAATTGATAAAAAAAAGACCTAATATATAGATGCCATCTCTGTATCACTACTGCGTGAGAGGAGAGTACATTTGTTTTGTTTATTTAGCTTCTTCCTTGTTTTCCATGTTTGACAAGATTTATTTCCAGTTTTGAATCATAAAATAATAAGAAAGAGAGAGAGATATGTATTTATTATTTTCTATCTTTGTCTTGGTCCATTAAATAGGCCCATTGACTAAAAAAAGCCATACATATATAAATTGGTTATTTAAGTCAAAGTTATGGGCCACAACGTGATATCTCATATTCTATAGTTTTCGCGGTTACAAAACAACAATAGATAGATACGGCCAAACGTCGTCGTATTAATTAGTAAATTTCCTTGGTTGGTAGAACGAACAATGATTACAAGGAACAAAATTATTTTCCCAACATCCCTTTGATTTAGGTGTAGAGACCTTCTTCGCTTCAACAATCTGCAAAAAACAATATAAATTTTAAATATATTTCCTTCAAATTAATTATTTGTATTCAAGTTATGAAATTCGTACCATCCATCATACATACATATATACCTCATTACTTATTTACCTCCCAACTGTATATTTAGAAATTGGTATATTTGTTTAAGAAATTACTGACATGTATGGGATTTATCTTATTCTATATTTTTCAGTTGTAATAGCATATCTCTACGTTACTATATGTTTTCAGATATAACGATTATAACGTACCATCTCCTTTTTTACGCAAGCTCTTTAGGAACATAAAGAATATAGCAACAAGGACCAATGCCGCTACTCCTCCTACTACTATCGCCAACGACTTCTCCGTGTTTACTTTTGAATCTTCTTCTATATATATACCAAAAGGATAAGAAAAAAACCAATGGCAACTCAAATTATACATCATCAACTTATTTTTGATAATTGGTTTTGGTTTAATCGTACGTACCGTGGTATGAATCATCGGGAGATTCATGCGGGTGATATGTATACCCGACGTAGCACCCTTCTAAGTATATTTGACCCGCGATGGACCACGGACACTCCTCTGCCGCTGCAGCAGCCGCGGCACTGACGCACTCACCGCAATCGCAAGCTTCAACGTGGCCGTCGCATTGAGCCACAACGTGGAGGAGCTTGTAGCTATCCTCGTAGAAGCCGTGCCCGTCAACAACTCCTGTCTCAGCTACTGTGAGTGCCTCTGTCTTCATCTCTTCGAATCCGGCGAACGTCTCCGCCGTGGCTCCATCGCATACCTTGTGGATCAGACCGTGCTCGGGGGTTTCGAATAACTTATGGTTGTGATGATTACTAGCTTCTTCTGAACACGACAACAAGAAGACAATCGTGTTGGACTTTGGACACAAACAAAAACTTTACTTACGAATTACGAGCCACATCAATATGTATATACTTACGAGCACTATGGGTCTCGACACGTTCGAATTTGTATATCAAGTGACATCCTCGGAGGTGAACACGAGCTGACGTGGCGTTTCCACACACTCTATACGAAATGTCACGAAGATCACTAACACATCTATGGCATATTTCACTCGGATAATCTTCTCGGCACTGGAACCATCCAGAGACGGCGTGTTGTTCGTTACCAACTAGAGTCTTATAGAACTTAGATCGATATGATTCGGATTCGAGTTTGCGTAGGAAAGAAGAAAGGGCTTGTGCACGAAGAAATAGATTCTGATTTGAGTAATGTGGATATTTTGTTGTTGGTCTTTGAAGGATGTTTGCGTCCAATGAATCGCATTGTTTGAAAACTAGAGTGTCATAATCCAGTTGGGAAGTGTTGATGATAGAGGGAAGAGACAGAATGATTAGGGCTAGGATTGGTGCAAGGGGGGAGATCAAGTGGACAACCATGGTTTGATACAAATCTACAGGGAAGATTTTTAATTTATTGAATAAGCTGTATCAATTGGTGAATGGAGATGGAAGTTGTGGTAGATTAGATCTTAGTCTACGTATGTCTACTTGTCAACATATGTTTACGATTTGGTTGTGACTTAGATGGTCAAGCGCACACGTACGTATTGATTTCTTGATTTTTTTTCTTGTTGGCATGATCATAGCCATTGGATATAAGTTAATTATTGAAAATAATAACGTATTCATTTTTGTCTTGGGTTGTTTAACAATTTTTACTGATGTATGCGTTGTGAAGCTTCCGGTCATCGTCATACTAATAACAATTGGTGGAATTGGCTGATCGAAAATATGTTTATCCCATCATCCCTCTCATCAGTTTCTGAACAACCCTATTCGCATCTATGGAAATCTCAGGACTCTTGTTTGTTTTGGGAGATCGAAATAGTCTGAATCAGAGGAAAACCAAGTATTCAGTATTTCCTAAACATTGACACATTACGAGTAAAAAAAAAGAAAAAAAACAACCATACAAATAAATAGTATTTGATTCATTCTAGAAACAACTCTAAAATTACAAGGAAAATAAAATATGAATCCAACTAGAAGAACCAAAACAAACACTCCTATTCTTCCGTGTATATATCGTAAAATTCGTTATGACAGAGTTTTATTCACTTTGACTAAATCTTTTATTATATTTTTCTTTTACATCAATACAAAAGTCAAAACTCTTACAAAAAGATAAAAAAAAAAAATAGACCAAATAAGAGCGAGTCAAAGAAATAACGTCTGTCACCTTTTAAAGTCTCCAACATTTATAACCAATGTTGAAGAAAAAGACAGTGAATAAAACCAACGGTCCAGTTCTTATCAATGTCTAAAAACCACAAGCTTCTTCCTCATCTTACGCTCCCCTCTTAACCTCTCCTTTTATTCTCCTTCTCATCTTCATTCTCAACTGATCGTATAATCATTCTCACGGAGACGAGTGAAACAAAGAAGGTTTTCACTTTCTTTAATCTCCCGCCACTTGCGAAGATTAAACGAATCCACGATAGTTTATACAAAAGAACACAAAATTAGACATGGCTCGGCTCAAGTTCGCATGTCCCGTTCTTGAAATCAATCTAATCTCAGCTCAAGATCTTGCCCCTGTTTCAAGAAACATGAAAACGTATTCCGTAGCTTGGATCAACACCGATCCTATGAGGAAACTCACGACGCGTGTTGATCAATCCAATAGAGCCAACCCTATATGGAACGAGAAGTTTGTCTTCCGGGTTAACGACAAGATCCTTGACTTTGACGCATCAGCTATTGTCATCGAGATATACGCAGCGGCTTGGGCTAAAGATGCGCTTGTTGGTACCGTCAATGTTCTTCTTAGCGATCTTTTTGCTCCTTGGTCTGGTTTTGGTGACGGTGACGACTGTGGTGGTCGGAATAACAATATGAGGCTTGTGACGCTTCAGATTCGTCGTCCTTCAGGTAGGCTTCAAGGGTTCTTACGGCTCGGCGTTGCGCTTCTTGACGGTGGTCAACGGAGTATGCCGTTATCTATTGAGGTTTTTGACGGAAGTCGAAGAGGAGAGAGGTATAAAGAAGCTTCAAAGATAATGCACCGCCGTACGAATAGCGATCTAACGGATTTAACGACATCAACGAATGATTACGGAGTTAAAACAGGGGTTGTTACCGGCGGTGGAGGAGGTGGTAATGCTATTGTTGTTGGCGCGGACAGTATGGTGAATGGTTCGCTTTGTAACTCTGATATTGGACCGTCAGCGTCTGTGGTTGCGGCTGCGATTGCGCAAGGGCTTTACAACAGACAGAAAACAGCGGTTGCGACGAATAGTAATAATAAAGAGGACGCAAGTTCGATTCTTGAAGGGAAAACAGAGGGAGTTGAGCACAGAGTTGAGCGGTGGAGAGCGGAGAAAAAAGGTGCGGTTGAAACGGCTGGATCCAGCGATGAGTCTAGTGGAAAAGGAGGAGCGGGAAGGAGACGGAGGAGGAGGAGACGAAAGGAGAAAGAACAAGGGCGGAGGAACGGTGGAGGAGAGGGTAAGAAAGGGTTGTTTTCATGCTTCGGGAACGTGTTTGGATGTGAGATCTCGATAACTTGTGGCGGTGGAAGCGGCGGAGAAGGAGACAGCACGAAGAAGAGATATAACAAGAATAAAGTAGTCAATCTTAGTGCTGTAGACGAAACGTTTAGTAGTTCTGCGGCTTAAAGAGGAAAAGTGTTTATTTTTTTTGTTCTTTTTTGAAAGTATAACCGTATGATGGGTTAAACTATGAAATTTGAAAGTATCGAGGTCAAACGTATCAATAAAAAACTTTCAGTTACGTAAACATTTCTTTCTGGTAAACGGACTAATCTGAACGTTTAGATACTACTGGGGTCATTATAACATTTTCTAAAAGATAAGGAAAAAAATGAGAGCTTTTAGAAAAACGAATCAAACACACACACCATCATAAAAAACTTCATCTCATCAACCTTCTCCTCTTTCTTACGCAATTACAACACTTGAAACGCCTCTCTCTGTCTCTCTCTTCGCCGTGAATGTCTAGATAGTCATAAGCTCTCTGTTAAATGTTGCTCAATTCTCTAAATTTTTCCTAAATTGTGAGGGGCACAGAGAGAGAGGCGCATAGGAAACGGTGATTTTCACAGTTCCCGGAGAAAGAATCGGCTGAGTTTTTTTTATCCTTTATTGCTGCCCCGGAGAATCTGAAACTCACTCACTCGAAATTAGCTAGTGGATTTTGGGTGGGGTTCTCTTAATTCTGGAGAAAAAACTTGAATTTATACAAGATGTTTGGGTGTGATTGCTTTTACTGGAGCAGAGGAATCTCCGAGTTGGATTCCGATTCGGCCGAGCCAAAGCCTTTCTCGCTTCCGTCTCCTCTTCCTAGCTGGCCACAAGGTACGCACAACATTTCTTTTACTGCAATTTTTCTTTTTGTTCTTTCGATAATTATGGATTTGAAGTTGCAAGATTTTGTTTTTTAGCAAACTCTCATTTAAGGAAATTTTCCATCTAATTGTAATAAGTGTGTCAAGAATTGCCCCCAACAAAAGATTATGAAGAAACGTTTTGAATCATTGGCAAAGCATTTTCAGCTAGGTTTGGCTAATCACATAATTGAGTTTGATTAGTTATAAGATAAGGTTAATTACTCATCAGTTGGTCCTTGGTTAATGAGAAATGACTTAATCTTATCGATATTTGTGGCTTAATTTTGTATAATTTTTTTTGGAGAAGCGAAATTATATTCTGTTTAAGACTGAGAAGATGCTTTGGAATATTCTGCATGATGGTTCCCGTTGTCTTTATCCTTTCTTCTTTGTCCGACTCCGATACAAGATTTGATTTCTACTTTGAATATTCTCACATGAAACTTTTAAATAATTGTTTTGCTATAATTAGACATGTTTAGTATTCTTAACCTTTGTTGACTCGATAATGTGAGCAATGATAATGTTGTTTGATCATATAAAAAGGCTCTATCATTTTATGTTTTGGAAGCTTAGATGGATATGGTATCATGTCATCTAATAGAGTTTATATACAGTTAAACAGTTAACAGTTAATACTTTTGGGTATTATGTTAGAGAATGCTTTGTAGTCCATTAACTTCTCCTTCTACTGTTTCAATCAATTAAGTGCTCAATCTGTTAGTTAGATGTTTCCCAAAGTGATGTACCTTTTTTGTTTTTTGTCAATATCTCTTTGCAGGAAATGGTTTTGCCACGGGAACAATAAACCTAGGAGAAATTGAAGTGGTGAAAATCACCAAGTTCCATAGAGTTTGGAGCTTTGATTCATCGCACGCAAAATCGAAACGTGCTATATTTTACAGAGCCGAGGAAATTCCAGAAGGTTTCCACTGCCTTGGTCACTATTGCCAGCCAGCTGATCAGACCTTGAGAGGTTATGTACTTGCAGCTCGGGCTACCAAACCCAACAATGCTGATGATCTCCCGCCCCTGAAAAAGCCAGCGAGTTATTCTTTAGTTTGGAGTGCTGATTCAGAGAAAGATGGCGGTGGCTATTTCTGGCTACCTATTCCTCCTGTTGGTTACAGAGCAATGGGAGTTATTGTAACTCAACAACCAGGGGAACCTGCGACAGAGGAGGTTAGATGTGTAAGAGAGGATCTTACAGAGAGTTGTGAAACCTATGAGATGATACTTCAGGTGGGTTCTTCGAAGAAGTCGAACCGCTCTGATTCTCCTTTTAGTGTATGGAGCACCCGACCTTGCGAGAGAGGAATGCTGTCTCAAGGTGTAGCTGTTGGGTCATTCTTTTGCTGCATTTATGATCTGTCTTCTGATAGGACAGTCTCTGATATTGGATGCTTGAGGAATCTAGATCCGACTTTACACGCAATGCCAAATCTCGACCAGGTCCACGCAGTTATAGAACACTACGGACCAACAGTCTACTTCCACCCTGAAGAGGCTTACATGCCTTCATCCGTACAATGGTTCTTTAAAAACGGAGCTTTGTTGTACCGGTCAGGGAAATCACAAGGTGAAACGATTAACTCCACAGGTTCGAACTTGCCTGCTGGAGGATGCAATGATATGGAATTCTGGATAGACCTTCCCGAAGACGAAGAAGAAAAGAGTAATCTCAAGAAAGGAAACCTTGAAAGCTCCGAGCTTTACGTTCATGTGAAACCAGCACTTGGTGGAACATTCACTGACATCGTTATGTGGATTTTCTGCCCCTTTAATGGCCCGGCCACACTCAAAATTGGGATATTCACGTTACCTATGACCCGCATAGGGGAACATGTTGGTGACTGGGAACATTTCACTTTCCGCATATGCAACTTCTCTGGTGAGCTGTGGCAAATGTTCTTCTCTCAGCACAGTGGTGGTGGTTGGGTTGATGCATCAGATATTGAGTTTGTGAAAGATAACAAACCGGCTGTGTACTCATCTAAACACGGACATGCGAGTTTCCCTCACTCAGGAATGTATCTCCAAGGCTCGTCAAAGCTGGGGATTGGAGTGAGAAATGACGTTGCGAAAAGTAAGTCCATTTTGGATTCTAGCCGAAGGTATGTGATTGTTGCAGCGGAGTATTTAGGTAATGGAGTTGTGATCGAGCCGTGCTGGTTACAGTATATGAGAGAATGGGGTCCGAGCATTGCCTATGATTCAGGGTCTGAGATCAATAAGATCATGGATCTTCTTCCTTTGGTAGTTAGGTTCTCTTTTGAGAACATTGTTGATTTGTTTCCCATTGCTCTTTATGGAGAAGAAGGTCCTACGGGGCCAAAGGAGAAAGATAACTGGGAAGGAGATGAGATGTGTTGAAACTTGAAAGAAGAAAAACTTCTGTGAACAAAAAGGTTTAATGGAAGGATATGTTCAGTGTCAGTATCTGCAGCGCTGCGTGACTAATATGTATGTACAGTATACTAGTTTAGGGTTTGATCTTGGTGTTGTAATTTGATGATGTAAGACCTAAAACGCTGTATTTGCGGCTGTTATGAGCAATATGAATGATGTATTTTGTTAAGTTGTTCTGCTCTGTTCTCGTATCTTTGTGTTTTTTTAAGCATGTAGAGTACAAACTAATCATCCGGTTTAGTGTGTTCGCACAGTGGCACTTCCCAGCATGGGACGAAATCGGTTATTGGAAATTCGGTTTAGATAATCGGTTTAATAGTGTGTATATTGATTGAAAACTCGAACCGTTGTCTACTCTCTCTATCCGAGTCTCTCTATCTATTTCATCTGATAAACCTCGACACTGCGCTGCAGTGCTTTCACTTCCGTCGTTAGCTACAGTTTGAAATCCGGCGACTTTCCGGCGGATAATTTAATCATATAGCAATATTAAGTAGCTGCAATGGAGGTTCTTATCACAAAGATATGGTGTTGAATTTCACTTCGGCGTTAGTGCTGCGATGGATTTCGTTTCCGCTTCTTCCATATCTTCACCCTTTCTCACACAGCTGTCTCCAATTTCTCTGGGCTCAGGTATAGTTTCGTTAAAGCCTAGATTTCGGGTTAAAAATCGAAAATTTGGGTCTAGAGAATCCAAGAAATCTTGGAAAATTGTGCCTATTAGAGGCTGTTTTGGTTTTTCCGCCGTAAATGGGAGCTTTTTGAGGTCGAAACAGTCTGATTACGAGAGTGAAGCTGCTTCGGAATCATTGAGTTTATGTGGAGAGGCAAATGAGCTTTTGCCATCGTCAGAGACGAGAGAGAGCGTATTTCAGTTTGTGTCAAGGCCTTTAGTTTACGCCTTGTTTTGTATTGCAATTGGGTTTTCACCAATTCGCTCTTTTCAAGCTCCAGCTTTAGCTGTTCCTTTCGTCAGTGATGTGATTTGGAAGAAAAAGAAAGAGACAGTGAGAGAAAAAGAGGTGGTTTTAAAAACTGTTGATCATGAGTTCTCAGAGTATACTCGGAGATTGTTGGAGACAGTCTCGGGTTTACTGAAGACTATTGACAAGGTTAAAAAGGAAAATGGAGATATTGCCGAAGTGGGAACGGCTTTGGATGCAGTAAAGGGGGATAAGGAGAAACTGCAGAAAGAGATAATGAGTGGATTATATCGTGATATGAGGCGGTTGAGGAAGGAGAGAGATGTGTTAATGAAACGAGCTGATGGAATTGTAGATGAGGCCCTAAGATTGAAGAAAGTGAGTGAAAACCTGTTAAGAAAAGGTGCTAGGGAGAAAGTGGAGAAATTGGAAGAGAGTGTGGATGTAATGGAGACTGAATACAACAAGATATGGGAAAGAATAGATGAGATTGACGATATAATTTTAAAGAAAGAGACAACAACATTGAGTTTTGGGGTTAGAGAGCTTATTTTCATCGAAAGAGAGTGTGTAGAGTTGGTTAAGACCTTCAACCGAGAAGTGAATCAAAAAAGTTCTGAAAGGTGATATCTCTAGCCTTGATTTTAGCTGAGATGATATTGTTCTACCTTACCTATAGCTGAGAATTTGGTTTCCGAATAATGAGAGATATAATAACAGTTGATTGTGTTAAGCTCATCTATTTGCAAGATTTCTCTTTACATTCATCTTATTTGCGTCCAATTCTAGAGGTGATGGTAAAAGTTGTATCTTTTACTTCTAAGATTACCAAGTATCTTGTTTGTACCCCTGTACTTAGTCTAAGTGTATCCTTTTGTCATGTATATGCTCTCTGTTTTCCCTGTTGACATAAATGTTTCATGTTTCACTTACTAGATCAATTAATTTTCTGGTTGTAGTGTTCCTGAAAGCTCCATTACAAAACTCTCGAGGTCTGAGATTAAGCAGGAATTAGTGAACGCTCAAAGAAAACACTTGGAACAAACGATACTGCCTAATATTCTGGATCTGGAGGAGGTTGATCCCTTTTTCGATCGTGACTCGGCGGATTTTTCTCTACGCATCAAAAAACGCCTTGAAGAATCAAAAAAGCTGCAGAGAGATCTTCAGAATCGTATCAGAAAACGTATGAAAAAATTTGGTGAAGAAAAGCTTTTTGTTCAAAAGACTCCAGAAGGTGAAGCTGTGAAGGGATTTCCTGAAGCTGAGGTGAAATGGATGTTTGGAGAGAAAGAGGTGATTGTTCCGAAAGCTATCCAGCTCCACCTACGCCATGGTTGGAAAAAGTGGCAGGAAGAAGCAAAAGCCGATTTGAAACAAAAACTTTTGGAAGATGTTGATTTTGGTAAACAGTATATTGCGCAGAGACAGGTAACTTTATGATATGAAGTATACTAGCCCACAAATATGCGGTTTGTTTAATATTGGTGGATGTTTTTCCAGGAAGGATGGAACACTGCTTTATGTTTTTCATGGTAGATATATAATTAGCATGACTAACCTATAGATTTGTATTCATTGGTGATGGAAACTTCAAGAATTTCTTCTTTTGGTAGATTCTGAAGTTTTATTTAATACTGAATATGCAAGTTCATATGTTATCTTGATATCGAGCTATTAAGTAAATCAGATTACTTGGGCAAGCAAGAAGCACTCATTTTTTTGGCTTACACCATTGATTGGATCTTTTCAGTGTTTGATATTCATAGAACTGAGATGCTAGCTGTAATGCTTAAAATGGGACAGTTTTAGTTGGAACCTTGTTGAAAACTTTATGTACATCTCTGTCTTTTGCAGAGCTTATTTGCACATGTATTGATCATTCACCAGTTAGTTAATGATTTTTTAAAATCTGAAGGAACAAGTACTCCTGGATAGAGATAGAGTTGTTTCAAAGACGTGGTATAACGAAGACAAAAATAGGTGGGAGATGGACCCTATGGCTGTTCCATACGCAGTTTCCAGGAAGCTGATTGACAGTGCCAGGATTAGGCATGATTATGCTGTAATGTATGTTGCGTTAAAAGGAGATGATAAGGAGTATTACATTGACATCAAGGTTACCCATGTCATGGATTTTTAAGTTTAAGTTCTAATCTATTTGAGGGATTTTTAAGTTTAAGCTTTTAACTCTTGTCTGTGGTTGTAGGAATATGAGATGCTATTTGAGAAATTTGGAGGTTTTGATGCTCTATACCTTAAAATGCTTGCTTGTGGAATCCCAACTTCCGTTCATCTGATGTGGATACCCATGTCAGAGCTAAGTCTTCAACAACAGTTTCTGTTGGTTACTAGGGTGGTTTCTCGAGTCTTTAACGCATTGAGGAAGACTCAAGTTGTATCAAATGCTAAGGATACTGCATTAGAGAGAATAAGGAATATTAATGATGACATTATGATGGCGGTCGTGTTTCCAGTTATCGAATTCATCATACCTTACCAGGTATAACTTTACTCTCTCTCTCTCTCTCTCTCTCTGGATATATTCCTCCTGTTTCCCTGTGTCTATTTTTTGTTTTCTGACTTTTATCTCACACAGTTAAGGCTACGTCTGGGAATGGCTTGGCCGGAAGAAATAGAACAGACTGTTGGCTCAACATGGTACTTACAATGGCAGTCTGAAGCAGAAATGAGCTTCAAGTCCCGCAATACAGAAGATTTCCAGTGGTTCCTCTGGTTTCTAATTCGAAGTTCTATATATGGGTTTGTTTTGTATCATGTTTTCCGCTTTCTGAAAAGAAAGGTTCCAAGACTTCTTGGCTATGGACCCTTCCGCCGAGATCCAAACGTGAGGAAATTCTGGAGAGTGGTACGTAACATTTTTCTCCATTGGCTTCTCTTTCCAACGCTCTCAATTTTTCGTGAGCAGTAGTATTGTAGTTAGTATTACACCATTTATGTTGTTAATCATTCAGGTTTCTTACACTCACAGTTGATTACTGAAAATTGGTTTTTTCTTTTTTTGCAGAAATCATATTTTACTTATAGAAAAAGGAGAATTAAACAAAAGAGAAAGGCTGGAATCGACCCCATAAAAACTGCATTCGACAGAATGAAGAGAGTGAAAAATCCACCTATCCCATTAAAAAGCTTTGCTAGTATTGAGTCTATGAGAGAAGAAATCAACGAGGTTGTGGCATTTTTACAGAATCCAAAGGCATTTCAGGAGATGGGTGCCCGCGCACCTCGGGTATGTTGCTTTACGGTTGTATGCTTATCCTGTGGGAAAGTGTCCAATATAAGCATGCTTAATCACGTTGCAGGGAGTTCTTATCGTGGGTGAGAGAGGAACGGGGAAGACGTCACTGGCGCTCGCTATAGCAGCCGAAGCAAGAGTGCCTGTTGTCAATGTTGAAGCTCAAGAGTTGGAAGCTGGACTATGGGTTGGTCAAAGTGCAGCGAATGTCAGGGAACTCTTTCAAACTGCAAGAGACTTGGTTAGCTGCTTTTCTCAGATTGTTTTGTTAATTCATCTTTTTGTAGATATTAAAATTTCCTCATGCTGTCATCTTATGGTCTGATGTTTACTGTGATGATTAGGCACCTGTAATAATTTTTGTGGAGGATTTTGACCTCTTTGCTGGTGTACGCGGGAAGTTCGTACATACAAAACAGCAAGATCATGAATCGTTCATTAATCAGCTTCTTGTTGAACTTGATGGGTAATAGCCAATTTCTATGTTGATTAACGATTAAGACCAGATTTGTAGCATTCACAACGTTTTCTCAAAGTATCGTGTTTAATGCAATAGGGACCGGTCCAGTAGAAAACTCAAGTAGGTTACCCCTTTTTTCCAGTTGACGTTTCTGATGTCATTCTAATTTATATCTTCTACTTATGCAGCTTTGAGAAACAGGATGGCGTAGTTTTGATGGCGACGACACGAAATCATAAGCAAATTGATGAGGCCTTAAGAAGACCTGGTCGTATGGATAGAGTATTCCATCTTCAAAGTCCAACTGAAATGGAAAGGGAGAGGATTTTACACAACGCTGCAGAAGAAACCATGGACAAAGAACTCATTGATCTAGTGGATTGGCGTAAGGTAATCTTAAGCTTTGGAAAGTTTTTTATATGTGCTAGCGGTTTTATATGTTGTACCTACTGTTTAATTTTTTTTGCACCTTCAAAGTTCTGATGGTTCATTTCTTTTTTGCTTGTAAGTACTATATCACGTCATGGTTCTTCTTTGTTGCTCTCTCCTATA